GGAAATTGCTGCAATTGGAGGCGGTGCGGCGCAGCCTTCTCCACACTCCTAAGTCCTGCTTATGCAAAGCAAATTGGTTTATGCATGAGGCAGCGGACAGACGAAACGGACCCTAACCTGGCAGACCACGCGGTGAGGTAGCCTCTCGCTGGGTCGTAAGGAGCTTCGCACACTAAAACCAGCCGAAGCCCGTAGCCGCTGCTGATATGATGGGGGCACCGACGAAGGTCCCAGAGAGACCAAAGGGCTGGGGTCATGAATGCCGGGCTAAGTAAATTGTTGGCTCAGCCCTTGATTAGCTTAGCCGAGTTCAAAGAAGGGGTCCCCTGGCTGGAGCGATGGGCGAGTGGTGGTATTAGAAACGGGGCTGCTGGGCCGGTAGAAGCACCGGAGGAAGCTGTTGCCCGTAATGCATTTTGAAAACCATACGAGCGGAATTTATGTATGCACATCCTGTCCGTGCGGGCAAGGGTGCTCCTGGCGAAGAACGTTGAATTAAATTTCAATATGCGAGTTCTTGTTTTATGCCGCGTTAAAGCTAAGTGCCGAGCGGATGATGGTGTTTGTGAGGGGCATGTCTGCGAGGGCTGGGGCTTATGCCATCTGTAAATTGCAACCCCAGAGAAAATGTAACGTTTAAAAAGTGCTTATTAAACGGCAAACGTCCAAGTGCTTTTTAAGGCGAGCAAACATATAACCCTTTATAGCTTATGTTCTATGCGAATACCTCCCCAATCCTCAGAGGATCTGTTGGGTCGGCAGTGAACGAGTTCGGCAAAAATGTCGATGGCTTAGCAGGCAAATTGGATATAAAAGGGATTGGAAATAGCAGACCCAATCCAAGTCCGGTTCTAGGCAAACAAATAGTATGGCCGAAAGTCGGGGGCATAAAAGTAAAAGTAAAAGGCACATTGTTTTCGGGTTCGCCCTGGGGATTAAGATCTATGGCCAGCGCCATTCGATGATGACTCGAAGGGGAAACAACCAGTCAGATATATAAGTGAGCACCGTAAACCCATGAAAGCCCAACTCTGCATGGCCCAACGAAAACGAAAGAGTGAACCCATAATCATCACTTTTAACGGCAGGAAGATGAGCAGAAGTTCCGGAAGGATGGCCGAGATGGTTTTGTCCTGGAGCACCGAAATCTCGCGTATGACTTTTCAAATGAATGACAGCAATTAACGCAGTCAATGATGGCACGGCCATTGTTTGCTGTTGTCTCGTCCTGCTTTTTGCACCCGTTTGGCCGGCCATTAAAGGCCGCCAACAATGTCAACAGGCCCCGGCCGGCTTCCCTGCCCAGCCCGCCCGCGTGGTTATGGCACATAAAAAGCATCTGACCAGGCCAGCGACAACGCCTAGTCGGTGCCCGGCCAACAAAGGCGAAAGCGTTATCATCTGGCGACTGTGGGCTCTGGGCCATGGACTACTGGCTATTAGCTGTTCTCTGTGGGTTATTGGCCGAAGGGCTCAGAGCCGAAAGCAAACAAAATACAAACGAGGTGGAGGCTGCTAAATCTGTTATTTAGTGGCGTCGGGGGAAAGGGAAGCGCAGTGGGTGTGCAGCATATTTTTGCAAATTTTATTTAACCGCCTGACGGTAGGATTTGTCTGAATGGAGTGTAATCGAAATGTCTATGCTTTCAATAATGGAAGAATCTATAAAAACTTGGTTGAACCAGAATAAGAAATTACACCGCATTGGTATCGTAGTACCATTAATCTTATATTAGCAGATCGTACCCTTTTAGTCCGTGATGGGAAAAAATTAAATTCATTGTCAAACTGTCTTGGCTGCTAACACTCAGTGTTTTCAATACTCTCCGCTCATTGGGACTCCAATCTGATGTCCAGTCCACAAACCATCGCACCTTCCCACCCGGTTTGGTGCCTCGGGGCTTTGGCATCTGTTGACCCAAACGCGTATCCAATTTTGGTCAACACCTGCAAAAGTTCGATGGTTTGCAGGTTGCAGAAACTGGTCTATCGCCAGTTTCGGTCCGTAGGAGTTTGAGTAAAACTTCATCATTACCCGGTCGTTATCGCCTATGTACCGAGTACCTGCAGACTAACAAGGGCAATATTCGCTTTTTTAGAAAAGCTTCAATGGAGAATCAAAAATGGACGAATTGCAGTCCATCAAACAGACTTTTTTCTATGGGGATGCCCCAGGCTATTTCAGTCTACTCCATGTATGTATATGTGTTAAAGGAGACCACTTTTTTAAAAAGTACCGGGTATCTGTAATTGCAACACTCAGTCACTACTAGCTTGAATTTAAATAATGGTGGCACAGCAGGGTCCGCGAAAGGCATGGCATAGTCGTGTTTGAAATGTGAACCGACACAAACAGGGACCGACATCTAGGCAGCCCAGCCCTTCCCGGCCGCATCGCCTGATTGTTAATGAGATGATGCTGTAGCCCGGAGACCCCGGGAGCTCCACTCGAACCCCACGCTCCACAGTGGACAGTGGGTTGCGGCCAGCCTCACCGCACTCGAAACGCCCGGGGGCTTTTATCGCACATTCGACCCATGTGTCGTCACGGCCATATGCATAATTTGCACACTGTCCCCACCAACAACTTCCCGCCCAGGACCTCCCCGTACCTCCCAGCTCCAACGGCAGCCACGAAAATACTCATTAAAATACGCGAAAATTTTGTGGGCGTAAAATGTGTTTGGTTTAGCTTTGGAATGTCATTTTTGGTAGTGTCGGAGGAGGCTCATGGGGAGAAATGATGTTGCGAACGTACGGGGTTGGTCTGGAGGGTGATGAACTGAAAACTCGCATTTAATATTTAGTGTTTTCAGCTTTCTAATGCGTTACCCAGGCCAGCCTGAGTACAGAGCCTAATCACGGTTCAGACAGCTTTCGGGACATGCCCTGGCACTTAAATGGAGAAGTACTGCGTCCCGCTCGGAACGTACAGAGCCTTTTCCTTGCGATTGCTGCATCAGCAGTACAAGAAAATTCGTCAGTGCCAACTGGGCAGTTCAAGCCCCTCCCCCCTCGCACTCCACAATTCGATCTGTTAGTGAAGTGCCCGCTGCCAGGACATGGCAAGAAACGGGGAAAGGGAGCAATTCGGGAAAGGCAAACAGCGCAAAGGAAAGGAAATCGCTGACTTCCAACCAGTTCGTCAGAGCGGGGTGGACGGGCAGAGGGAGGGAAGTCGGCAATGGCAAACGCCAAGTGTCCATCATCTGCAACGGCAATAAAACCGACCAAAGGCAGGCCAAGGATTCCCCGGCAATGCAACGCATATAAAATATTTTCCGCAATATAGCCAAAGGAGGCCGGGTGGGGCATGCCGGCGGAGTAGTATGGGTTGGGGTCAGCGGTCATAAATGGCAGTCGAATTCGGCGAAAAATATGCTGCATGAAAAGATACCTCCTCTTAGACGAACAGGAGTGGCAGGTCAGTGTGGTCAATAGAGATGGGAGCACGGAAGAGAGCAGATGATTGTTGCATACTTTCTGCGGCAGGGCGCCCGCCCTTCTGCAGAATTCTGGTGCCATGTGTAAGCTATTCCCAGCATACTTTTCACATGCCAGTGGTGCGCAAAAAATTCGTATAGCCACCATAGCTCCCACTCCCAGGCCCACTCTCACTCTCAGTCTCGGTCTCACTCCCACTTCCACTGCCGCTCTTGAGCTGCATATCAAAAGCTCGTTAAATGAAGCATATCCCCCGGCATAAACGCTCGCCTCTGCCTGTCTCCCTTTCCGACGTATTAGTCCTCCCTCTTTCGCCTTTGTTAATTGTGCTACGATTCCTCGGTATTTGCTTTGCTGCGCTTGCAGTTTGACTTTTTCGATCCCGTTGTGCTCCTGTTTCTATGGCCGCTTCGTGTGCCGTCCTTTTCATGTAATTGTTCGAGGATTTCGTTCGGATTTATTGCTGCTCCCTGGCTTGTTGCTTTAGCTTTTGAAACATTTGTGTAAGCGAAGCATTTTATGCGAATATGATTGCAGGTTGTTGTGAGTGTCTTTCTATTGGGTTTCGCGTTCAACTCTTTTTTTTTACTTAGCTTATGGATGCTTTATTAAGTTGTAAAACTTAACAAAGGAAGTCCAGCCATGTGCGTCTTAGTAGCGACAAGGACCTCTTGGATCAATTGATCATTGATCATTTTTCGGTGTTTCAGGAGAAGGAGGATGACCACAGGAGTCTAAAATAAAGACAGTCTTTTTTTAAACTTATATTATTCAGAATATTTTAAACTCATTATTCTTACTCTTAAAATATGAATAAACTAATTAAAACAAAATAGGCTGTACAATGTATCAAACAACTATGCATATTTTTATGCATTTTTTAAAACGCTCCTCCTAATTTGCTCCTCTAGACTGAAGATTTGCTTAAGTTTTAGTACCAAGGTTATAATTTCGAAAATAATTCTAGAAGTAGCATGTAAGGGGAATGGTTTTAAATTGCAAAAACTGCGGCAACAACCCCGACACTACTGCGACACGGATAAAGCATGTGTGCCAAGAAAAACACAAAATAGAAAATGCGCAAATGGCAAGCGAAGAGTAAAGTAGCCTTGGAAAACAACAGGTCGCACGGGGAAGGGGGAGCTGTATTTTTTCAGGGCAAGAACGCGCCGAAGGAATAATCCGCGTACCACATGTGGCACAAGCACAGATACAGCACTCGAAAATGGACAAAATTCCCTTTGCATGTTCGCACGCAAAGAGGACTCTTCTTTTTCACTCCTTTGTTTTCGTTCCTCGCGATTCCGTTCTGCTGATGCAGCATCCTGCGCTGATGTTTTGACTTAACGTGCTTTTATTTGGTGGTATCTGCAGATATTTGTGCAACACTTCATAAACCAAGATAGCAACACTAGCGGAAAATTTAATTTGAAGCCCATAACTTCGGGCAAACGGGCAAATATTTATGCAACATGTGTGTGTTTTGATTAAAATTGGGCACAACAACGGGAAAACTAAAAGTATGGACCATGACAAATTAACTTTCTTTCCTATTATTAGGCCCACTCTATTCCCGTTACTTGGCTTATCCAGGTCATGTAGCTGGTGACGCGTGAGAATCCTTCGGGCTCACCCGCCAGACATCCGCCGGCACTGGCAAAGGAGACCACTCCGATTAGGGTTCTACTGGGGTTGTGGAGCAGGGCGCCTCCATCGTCCACGGCGCACACAGATTTCCCCGGCGGAACATCAACACACAGGGTGCTGTCGATCACGACCTTCCTACTATAGCCAGCGCGGATGCAGTCCTCGTTCTTCATGACCACCAGCTCCGTGCCCCTGGTGCCCTTGTCCCTCGGCCACTCGAAGCCCCAGGTTGTGGCACCCACAAACAGGTTTGCCCTGGAACTCTTGGCCGGGAGTTTCACCCGGTTGAGCAAAGGAGAGAGGCGCAGCTGCGGCACCCGGATGAGGGCCACGTCGTGGTTTAGCCTCGCATTGAAGCCGGGATGCTGGAAGATGTTCCGCTGAGTCAGGGTAAGCCGCAATCGTGGCAGCAGCCTTTCCAGCTGGACTGTCCGACTGCCGTTGGTGCAGTGGGCTGCGGTGATTACCCACCGGGGATCGATGATCGAGCCGACGCAGAACCAGCCGCGGGTGCGACTCCGGAAGTACAGGGCCATCATGTAGGGCTCCTCAATCACTTCTCCGTGGAAGGTCTCCCTGGCCCTGTAGATGGAGGTGATGGTGGTTTCCTTCAAGAACTGGCCTCTACAAGGCAAGCACCTCCAGATGCCACACAAAGAAACCAGAGTGGCAGCTGCATGGCATTGGCGCTGACATTTGAAACTGAAAGCCCGAATCCATGTGCCACGCTCTGCTCCTGCTAATTGCAGCTGGTTTCAGCCATTTCCAGTGTAAATTAATACAAACACAGGTGGCCAGAATTATCGAATCCAAATTGGATATTTATTTACATTTGGCATTTGAAATGTTTTTTTTATTCTTTTTCACTTTCTTGTTAATTAAAGCACATAACAACAAATCATTTGTATGTGGATATGTGAATTATATTTAATTATTTGTTATATAAAACCATGATATCGGGTGTTCGGGGAATGCATGAAACCAATATTTTGAATAATCCCAGGAAACTAATAAGTTTCTGTTGAAATTGTTTTGCCCAGCTTGGTGAGTTTTGGAACAGATTTTTTTCTCGGCAGAGTAAACTGAACGAATTCGTTTTAGTTTGCTGCGGAAGCCAGGTAAAATTTAATTAAGATTAATTACGGTGGAGCACTGGGTTGGAACGAGAACAGCTCCAGTCAACACCACTTCCGGCTTTCCGATTCACTCTTTTCTCGCCGCTTACCGCCTGGACAAATGGATGCGCGAGTGACACAAGTGGCGAGCAAATATTTCATTAGAGCGACTTTCAAAGATTTTTATTCCTAGTGAGCCTCTGCTAATGAGAAATTTCTGTGCTGGCGGGAGAATCCTTTCAGAGTGGGCACTGCGGAAATGGCGTGAAAATTAATTAAATTTTCCAGAAGTACGGAAAGTAAGCGGAATCAAAGGTAGAGGGAAGACGGACTAGATCCGAGTCAGAAATGTGCTAACAAATGTACCGATGATGGAAAGAAAAATTGACCTTCATGTTCGCAGGAATAAATACGTCTGAAATCACGCGGGTGATTTTCAGCTGTCTCTCAGCACAATATTAAAATAATATAAATCACAAACAGATGACGAAGCACGCATTAAATATTTCCTTTTTTTTATTGAAATTGTATCTGATACTACTTTTCCCATTATTTATTCATAACTTCTTTTTATGTTGTTTTATTGCGACTTTCTCTCCAGCCTGGCCCTCAGCCGCCCCCAGCAACCCGTCGATCATCATAAGTACAACGAGGCGTATACGTCACGTGCAGCAGTCGAAGCAAAGTCGAGTCGTCGTCGTGTTTTTTACGCCTGCCTAGCTCAGCGTAATCAGTTGACACTTCCCTTAGCATGTCGTCATTTATCTCACAATGGTCTGTTCGGGCCTGGTCCTCTGCTTATTTTGCAAATTTGTATTTCTTGTACAACTGTCGCCGGGACCCGTGTGGGGGACGAGGTTGGGGCTGGGTCCGGAGCCGGAACTGGTCTGCGAATGGGACTGACAGTAAAAAGTAAATTCCCTGTCTCGTTTGCTTGGCTTCAGATGCTCTTTCGCCAGGATCTGCCCAGTCTGCTCAGTCTGTCTATTTCCATTCACAGTCATCACACATGATTTTTCCGCCCATCCCGCCACAGCCCAGCCCTCACGAACTGTTGTCACACCAAGAGGCAGCTTCTGTCGAGGCGTGGGGTGGTTAATGGGAGAGGGTGAAAGGTGGAACGGTCCTCGCCAGCAGAGCCATCATTGTCATTATCATGTGCACCATGATTTCTTTTTGTGACGTCAGTCACTCATTCAACAGACTGTGATGACATTTGCATGGCCGTCATGGAACATGTTCGGAAGTGCAGGGTACCCGGAACACCTATTCGAATGGAGAGACGTCTTATGGGCGAGAAAGTTTTCACAAAAATTAATTTTAAGCTTCTTTAAACCTAGTCGCACTTGCAACCTCCGGCACTTGGTGCAAATGCCGCTAATGCAAAGAAAGCGCGAATCCCAAGTCAGATCGGGGGCATAAGGACGGTGTTACGCCGGCCTGTGAGTCGCATAACACTTCAGCATTAATTTTTTACCAGTGCTGATGGAAGGGGGGCAGAGGCTGCATAAAGGAAAGCATTTCACGGCACTTAATCCATATGTCGCAGGCGACATCACAGCCCTGGGAATGAATTATGTGCGACATGTACGAAAAATTACGCGCACAAATTGCAATGCTGAAAAATGAAATTTTTTTGTGTCCCGGCGAAGGTAGGGTGGTGCGTCGCAAGCCTCCGTGAGGCGATCTGCACCCCTTCGGGAGCGCTTTGAAAATGTGTAATAATGGGCGGGGTGAAGGATTTGTGATTCGGGGTCTCAGTTCCGCTAGGTAGACCTGCCTAATATTCGGAGCAGCCAAAGCTGCCAAGCGTTTTAGCGTAGAAAATGCAATAAATTAAAGAAAATATTCGGGACACCTAGAGTCCCTGATCCTTGAATGAGCTCGGCAGCGGCTCCTGAACGAAGGTTGCCAGGAGGGTTGAAGCTCAAGCCTCTTCCTTCGGGCCACATCACTCCAGCTGTTGTCGAAAGTTTATTCCGGCCCTTTTCAGTCTTATCCTTTTTGTTTGACTGAGCGCGTGATTAAATGTAAAATTGGATTTTTATTATTTGTTTGCAAAATATCCTTGCTGTTGTCCTCAGCCTGGTCCAGGTTTCGTCCCCACCCTGGGCTTGGCAAGTTTTCAAATTGCGTGGCAAATGGTGAAGTGACTCAGTACAAGGGGCGAGTTCTGCCACTCATATTTTGCGCAATTCCCATCCAACGGCTTGGAGAGATGGCAATAATGCGATTTCTTACCACTCCATTCTGCGTCAGCTGTGCAGGATGCTTCCTGCGTGTATAATGAGTGCACTGGGGGAATGCCCCATACTTCCTACCCGATGAGGTATATTAATTTTGAAGAAATTACCATAAGCGGCGAAAATAGTTTCGACCGAAGCACAAACCAAAATTCAGCGGAAATCGATATAATAACGAACACTGCGATCGCCGGGCCTCCATCCAGTTTACAGAAATCAACGATTGGCCGGGGAGCTACATTCATTTACTCATTCATTGTGCACTTACCAACTGCACAAACAGTTAGTGCAATAACTGAAAACCTACACTAATTGACACTAATTGCACAAACTCTTTCGCCCAGCCAGAGTGAATAGACAGAGCTCGCAGCTGAAAAACATTTGGTGCGAGTAATTGCAACAAAATCGGCAGTGGAGCTTCAATTACGGGCCACCCATGCTGCAACACCAATCAATTCGAAATGGGAGCTGTAAATCCACCGCAGCTGAAAAAATTGCACTCAAATCGGTGGATCGATGGCCATTGTGAGCTGCCTCAAAATTATGACTCGTCGTTTGATTAGCAAATGTTGGAAGTGAATATGAAAACAATGCATGGTCGACAAAATAGTATCTAACATAATTGTATCTCCTGGTATTGAACGATATCGTCCCATTTTACATTAAGGAATACGCCTCTGCTCTCCTGTAAATTAAGCCCTTCTAAGCTTCATGTGATAAGTACCAAATACTTGGCAACAGTTTAGTTGTGTTTCCATGTATAAAACTTAGGAGGCATTTATTTAGGAGGCATAAGACTATTTGCCCTGAAACCGATAAAAACTCCTCCAATTATAAAAAAGGGTAAGCACAATTCGACTCTCTTGAGTGCCAACTTATCGCTCTTTTAATAATTTGTGCTGGAATATGATGGGTGAAATCACAGGCTGCTGGCTCCTACTATGCTGTTCGGTTTCTGGCCTGTTATGGCTTCCTAGAGTACTTAAATCCAATTAAGCATTTGAAATTAAAATGCCGAAAAGCAAAACACCGATAAATGTTTACGGAAAGGATCTGATGTGAGCAGACACACAGGAAAGGGATATCGTGCCCCAGGCAGACGCACGGGCACTTAAAGACGCTTGCCGGGGAGTTCGCATATCACATATGCAGTGTTCAAGGAAGCCCACTTCCTGTGAGTCTTCCCAGCCTCCGCGTTCTCGGCCCAGAGCCCTATCAAGGACAAAGCGCTCGGAGTTTTCTGCAAGTGTGTAATGAAATGCAACGCTGCACACTGCACACGTAGCACATTGCGACTGTGTGGATTTGCGAAAGAGTGTTTACCTATGTGCGGGAGTGTGTGCCCGGGAGGAATAGAAATTGCAATGTCAGCAATTGGCAGCAGCAAAATCTAAATAAACATTGTCACAAAATGCAACCAAACCCTCCAGTCAGCATTAGCATCAGCATCAGTTGGTGGAGCAATGAGAAAAGGGCCGGCATCTCCACCCCGACGATGGCTGGGTTGTCAATAAAATTGCCAACAGCTACACAACCAAAGGGGCTTGCATTGAGGGGCGTGGGTGTGCTGCGTGTGTCCTGCCAATAGGTAACTAGTTAGACAGCCATCGCAATGCAGATTTGCATTTGTTCCATGAGCGCGATGCGAATACTCTGGCGGACGGAGGCAAGGCGGATACAATCTCCGGCACATGTACGGACAGAAATAGCGATACAATCATTTTTCTGTCCTTTCCTTTCCTGTCCTTTCCTGGTTCATGGGTGCTCCTCGTTTGCTTTTAAAATAAATACGTTTTCATTCGAACGGAGCCGAAGTGGAGGTGGACCTATGTACTCCGTACTCCGCTTGATTTGTCAACTTCACGCCCCCGAACTCCTAATCCGCCACAATCCCTCCAAGGGGCCCCTTCTCACCATACCCTTTTTCCCATTACGGCTTTCATTCGTTTGCCTCGACAGTCTACCACCACCCATCGCCGCCAGCACGGCTTAGCTTCTTAATGCTCTTCGCTTCCATTGTCACCTCGGACATTAGCCATTCATTTGCCCGACTCCGGGACTGCACCAGACTCTCACATCGCTTCGTGACGAGTGTCTGCAAATATTTGCAGGACATCATTTTATTAGACTTACATGGCATCAGCTCCTGGGCCAGGAGACTGAGCAGCCATTGTGCGACCGATATGTTGATTAGAAAAGTTCTGTTATTGCAACAGATGGAGAGTGAACGAGCCCAACCCGTTTCATCAGACCGTTCAGTGACTAAGCCAAGGTAACGGCATGGAAGATGTCGTTTGAGGCAATTTAAATATGGTACAGATTGTAGGGTGCATGACTTATTCAAAAAGTTATAAAAGAGATGGAACGAAATTACGATACAAAGGGCTTACCCTAAATGAAAATATATTTCAGAAAAATATTGTCTAAAGCTTCAAACCCAATCTTAATGTAATATTTTGTAAGGTAAGACAAGGAGACCAGAATAACTGAGAAGGCATTTTTTTAAAAAGTTATTATTAAAGTACTGGTTATTCTTTAAATTTTTGTCTAGTTAAACAAAGAACTAACAATAT